ATTTCTATCCATATTCATCATTCCTGGACCTCCATCCATTTGATGAATTTGTCCAACTGGTAAATTTTTCATCTTATTATGTTTTGTTTGTTAATATAAAATATTTTTTATGTTTATATACAGCTAGAATAGTCTGTAATGGCTAAGATAGACAGATAAGAACAAACTATTTAGTAAAGTCATGAGTTACATCCCTTCAAATGGAGATAAAGATGAAACCCATAAGAAATTGCCATGTCTGACAGACAGCAAAATTATAAAATTCTGCAGGCTCAGTTTACTTAGGCCCATTAGGAGGTAGTGGTAATAACTGTGGGTCAAAAATGAAAAAATATCATTTTCAAGGGATGTTTCTAATATGATTTACTTTAAATAATGGGTCATTATCAATGAATATTTCTTTGACTTCTATGCCCATGTGTAATAGATTATTGACATTGCCAGCAGCTAGATAGCTCAGCTGAGTGAGTCAGTACAGCCCACATACATGTATAATATTCTGATTCAGGTTTGATTCCGGTCAAACTGCACATATTTCTCACCCTGTGATATTTTCACCCTGTTACTTTTAGGGTTCAATATATGTTTATGATGGTTCATAACTGAGTCATAAGTCAATTCACTTTGTTACTTAAGTGTGCCAATGAAAAAGGAAACATTTCAATATGCTGTGGATTATGTCAATGCATAGAACTATGAGACTGAAAATATTTAAGCTGTAGAGCTGCTGTATGGTATTCCAAGGGTTCTGGGTTTTTTGGTAGTTCTGAGGTATGGTATTCTGAGTGTCTCTGGTTTGAGTTTTAGTCAGGCTGCATTTCATTTTCTCACTCTTTGATATTGATAAATATTTTCAGCTCATTATTGGCTGGACTGCATATATTAATGATTTATTTGTATTAAATCAATATTGTTAAATATTTAGTTATTGTCTATATATGCATGTGACTTTATTTTTGATAAGGCATTGTAACAGTACTACTTCTTAATTTGACCTTTTTTGTATTGGGGGAGAAGCCCTTAATTAACTCCTTACCAGTAAGTTTTATTGTACACGATGATGATAGCTTGAAAGGATTTTGCTAAAAAAGATACTACATGAATTTTTTCCTATTGGATTGTAAAATATTTATTGATTGTCAAAAAACTATATGGAGTTCTCCTCGGTGACATTAAACAGTCCCAGCTGGCCATACATGCAGGACCTTGCAGACCATGAGACAGGGTGGTCTGTACCAAGACATTGACAAATCCGATATCGAGACATGGTGGACAGGACAGACAGTGATGTTCAGATCCCCCACTTAGAAAGGAAGTTCCTAAGTTCCTGGTCTTCAATTACTTCATTTGCTTACTTGGAGTAAAGGTGCTGGAAACAATAGTATATGATATCACAAAAAAGCACAGACTGTGATAAAAGTCAAACCAAAAAAGATACTATAAACTGAATTCATAGATTATATAAAAGAAATTTATTAATTCTTTAAGTTTATAGTTAACAAAAAAAAAAGATACAGAGTATTTAATTTTGATATATAGCATATTAACACACATAAAGTGCATTATGCCATATAAATTTCAACTTAGTGCTTAAATACTTTCTGATGAACTCAGTAAGCAAACATGATTTACTAATCTTTGGATTCCCACACTCCTCTCCACCTAGCTCCAATGAGATCCACTTGGTTGACCTTAACATGTACCATACCTCATATTGTTTGTTTTACAGTTAGGAATGAAAAAATGAAAGTTTATTCTAGATATTATAAAGCTTAATTTTATTAAATTTCACAAGGCTTTCAACACATCAACAATGTAATTGTCATTTTATTTTTTGAAAATGTGTTGGACTGCTGGTCTGATGCATGTAGATGCTGTGTTGGCATATAGCGATTCCCCTTTTTTTTTGTGTGTGTGTGTGTGCATGCATGCGTGCATGTGTGTGTGTTTTATACATTATATAGTTAACATCTTTTGAAAACATCTTGTCCAATTTCAACCAAACTTGACAGGGTTGTTCCATGAGTAAAGGGCTTCCAAAGTTGTTCAAAGACTTAAATGAGGCCTAGAGCATAGATATTTTGCAAAAGGCATTGTCTGGTAGACATTCACAAGATTTTCACATTATACCCTGGGTGTCAAATTAGCCCTGCACTAGGGTTCATAGATTTTCCTGATATGTATGTAGTTAAAACTTAAAATCTTCTCAAAGACAAAGACTAGAGGTTAGATATTTGTCATGAAACATTTGGTAGTTAACCTCTACCAAGATTATTCACGTTACAGCCCAAGGGTCAAAATTAGCCTCACCCCTGGGGTCATATATTAAGGTTTTCCTTATATGTATATAGCAAAAACTTTTTTAAAAATCTTTTTATCAGAAGGTTTAAGGCTTAGAGCTTAGATACTTGGTAAATAATATCATAAGTACGTCCTTTACCAAAGTTGTTCAAATGTTGCCCCTAGTGAAATAGCACCATGCAGGGTGTCATAGGTTTTCCTTAAATGTATAAACATGTATAGAAAAAAAAACTTAAAAAATATTCTCCTCTGGATTGACAAAGGCTAGATGTTTGATATTTGTCATGAAACCTTTACGTGTGTAATAAACCTCTATCACTATTGTTCAAATTATAGCCCTGGGGTCAAAATGGCTCTGCCAAGGAGTCTTTTTGGGTTTTCATTATATGGTATGTATATAGTAAAAAACTTAAAAAAAAATCTTGTCTGAAGGTACAAGGTTTAACAGGCACCATGGTGTCTTAGGATTTCCTTAAATGTATATACATGTATAGAAAAAAGACTTAAACAGTATTTCCCCTCTGAATTGACAAAGACTAGAGGTAAGATATTTGGCATGAAGCATTGTGTAGTCGACCTCTACCAAGATTGTTTTAATTTTAGCCCTGGGATAAAATTTGCCTTGTGGGAGGATTGGGGGTGGGGGGAGTCATTAATTTTCGTAATGTACTTGTAGTAAAAATTTAAGAATGTACAAGGCTAGAGCTTAGGGCTTTGATGCCTAAATTTTGTCAAGTACAAATGCTTTTATTTTGAATCAATAATTGCACTATGGAGTGCATTTTTTCCAGTGAATGCGTTTTTGCATGTAAACAAAAATGTTCACCTAACTTTTAAGTCTTGCTGAATGATTCAATACCACATTTTTGTAGACTACAAACCCACATGTTGGTCTTGTTTTTAAAGTAATAGATAAGAACACTGAAGACTCTATTTTACTATTTCAGCATTGTATACTGCAGATAATAAACCGGTCTTTGCAAACTGATTTCTGTATTGCTCATCAATTTCGCAAACCATATAGTCTTGCCTTGAAAAAACACAGCACTAGTCTGTAGGAACAACACCTCTTTCCTGTCCTATTAATAACTTGAGAAGAAATAAGCCTAGATTTGTGTTCGAAATTGATTGTAACCAGAAGATGACTTCTATTGAGTTCAGTAGATTAAAATCACATGGTCTTGATGTCAAGCAATGTATACCTCAGTGCTTGCAGTGCTTTGATTTTGTATTGAATTATTCATACAGTGATATTTAATTATTTTCTTACAAAGAAATAATTGTTTCTTTACAGTACACTTTAGTTTTATACAAATAAATACCAAAAACATACATATTGTTACTACATGTATGCCCTTTAGGTGGATTCCCCAGAGTTGTATGTATACAAAAAGTACCGGAGAACTGCGTTTAGCTAGATTTTCGAATTACTGAGTTTTTATCTTTTCAGTTTTCACGTGAGCAATGCGAACAATACAATCGAATTACATAAATGAACTGTATTGAACTCTCAGTGTATTATATTTGTCATTTGGCAATAAGCTTGATACCCTGAAAGGGTCAGCAGAATACCAGTCCACAATATGTACATTTCTTATCTAGAGATAAAAGAAATTGTCTGATTATCCAATCTGAATCACTGCAGTAAGTCATGATGTATATTATTGAATATAATCTTTCCCGTTCTTTAAACAGAAACGTTAAAATGTATATTATATGTCCCTGCTTTAAACAAGCTGATGCAAATGCCCGATCAGGCTTATGACATAAAAATCACATTTCTAGCAAAATAATAGAGATATTTCTTGTAATGTTAGTTTGTTTATTGGGCATAATATATGACATAAACAGACAGAAAAAATGATAAAACTAAGAGTTTGCTCTTTGTCTTGTTGTTGACATTTTGACGATTGATGGTGGTCATTTTCAGACCAGCCATAATATTAGTCATAGCCTGTAACAATATCGATTCACGATATCTTACAGGACAGTTTATTAAAAAGAAACAGTTTATTAAAATTTGTGATTTTTATGATAGGAGATGTATAAAGAGCTATAGATGTATTTTAATAATGATGTGTTTATTTGGAAAGCCAAGGGGTATTATCTGTCAAATTAACTCATATATGTATATTTATTATGAATGATATAAAAGAGAGATAACTCTTTATTTGACTTATAAGAATCACAATCATTTGGTAGGGATTATTACTTAATCTATTATTACACAGAAAATACCATTGTATGATTTTTTTTTGTGCAAACACTGACTGTTTAAGCTTCACGGTGAATTAGTAAATATCTCCTAAAAAAGATTAAATTTGTATGAAAACATCCGTTACAATGTGGAAATATACCGTTTAATTATGACTGCTACTTATAGCAATGTTTGTTGTTTTGAATGATATTGACGTATAGATGATCAGAAGACGAAGTTTCCTAGCAAATGGAAATTGTACTTCCGATTTCGCCACAATGAGGTTTTAGATTTTTATGGTTAGTTGTCTTGACACCAAAATAAGATCTAGAGTTGATAAGAAAACCAATTTATTGATAAAATGCCACTATTTCTGTTTTCATGAAATTTATTAAATGCAGCTTTAATGTTTCGAAAGGATAAACAGATTTTTTCACTAAGTAAATATATTTCAACAAATGTTTACTAACAGTTGCTTCTTCCTTTCTTTATTTTAAAACAGTGACAACCATGTGGCACTAGCAGAAAAGCATCAACAACAACAAAAACACTGTTGAGCAGCGGTACAGATACAATATGTGTGTGTGGAGAAATATGTTGTGATTTGTAGAAGCATGTGTGAAACCAGTCTTGTTAGAAAACTATTGCTTTGGAAATTGTGATCATTTATTTTCCTTCCTGAATTTTCTAAGTGCACTAAAACATCATTTTTACAAACCAGTGAGTTACAGTTTTATTAGTGAATATTCCTGTATTGGAAAATGGGAACTCACAGTTATGAAGAAATTATTTTATTAATCATTGTAGAAAATTAGTAACCTCAAAATACACTTGTCAATACTGTGTGTCAGTGTGTTTTAAATCATTTTCTTTTAGATTCAATCTTCAAGTATATATAACAATGTTGACTACTGAGGAAAATTTCAGATGCTTACTTGCGGATAACAGTAGTCTGAAAATACATATGACAATCGCAAACTAGTTGTCCTAAAACACATAGAACAATACACACTGATGATAAGAATCATGAATGTGAATATTCAACTTGGCACAAAGGCAATCTTAAAAAGCACATGAATATATACATTCGTGAAAAATTATGAATGTGAAAATTGTGAATATTTCCACTTTGCACAGAAGTAATCTTGAAACGCACATGCAAACACATACTGGTGAGAAGAGTTATAAATGTGAACTTTGTCACCGTTCATTTTCTCGCAGTGGGGATCTTAAAAGACATATGAAAATACACACTGGTGAGAGAACTTATCAATGTGCAATATGCCACCGTTCATTTTCTCACAGTAGTAGTCTTAAGAAACATAATATGATAATGCACACTGGTGAGAAGAATCATGGATGTGAAATATGTCATCGTTCATTTACTTATGGTAGTAATCTTAAAAGACATATGAAAATACACACTGGTGAGAAGAATCATAAATGTCAAGTATGTCATAGTTCATTTTCTCACAGTTGGGATCTTAAAAGACATATGACAATACACACTGGTGAGATGAATCATGGATGTGAAATATGTCATCGTTCATTTACTGATGGTAGTAATCTTAAAAGACATATGAAAATACACACTGGTGAGAAGAATCATAAATGTGAAATATGTCATACTTCATTTTCTAATAGCAGTAATCTTAAACAACATCTGACAATACACACAGGTGAGAAGAATCATAAGTGTGAAGTATGTCTACGTTCATTTTCTCGAAGAGGAGATCTTAAAAAACATATGACAATACACACTGGTGAGAAGAATCATAAATGTGAAATATGTCATCGTTCATTTTCTCAGAGAAGTAATCTTAAAACACATATGATAGTACACACTGGTAAGAAGGGCCATAAATGTGAAATATGTCATCGTTCATTTTCTTATAGAAGTAATCTTAACCAACATATGACAATACACACTGGTGAGAGGAATCATAAATGTACAATCTGTCATAGTTCATTTTCTCAGAGCAATGGTCTTAAAGAACATATGACAAAACACACTGGTGAGAAGAATCATAAATGTGAAATCTGTCATAGTTCATTTTCTAACAACAGTAAGCTAAAAAGACACATGACAATACACACTGGCGAGAAGAATCATGAATGTGAAATATGTCATCATTCATTTTCTCAAAGAGGTAATCTTAAGCAACATATGACAATACACACTGGCGAGAAGAATCATAAATATGGCGAGAAGAATCATAAATATGAAATAGGTCATCATTCATTTTCTCATAGCAGTTCTCTAAAACAACATATGACAATACACACTGGTGAGAAGAATCATAAATGTGAAATATGCCATAATTCATTTTCTCGAAGTGGAGATCTTAAAAAACATATGACAATACACACTGGTGAGAAGAATCATACTGGTGAGAAGAATCATAAATGTGAAATCTTTCATAGTTCATTTTCTCAGAGCAGTAATCTTAAACAACATATGACAATACACACTGGTGAGAAGAATCATGAATGTAAAATATGCAATCGTTTATTTTCTCAGAGCAGTAATCTTAAACAACATATGACAATTCATACTGGTGAGAAGAATCATACATGTGAAATATGTCATAATTCATTTTCTCGGAATGCAGAGCTTAAAAAACATATGACAATACACACTGGTGAGAAGAATCATAAATGTGAAATCTGTCATAGTTCATTTTCTCAGAGAAGTAATCTTAAACAACATATGACAATACACACTGGTGAGAAGAATCATAAATGTGAAATATGTCACCATTCATTTTCTCATAGCAGTTCTCTTAAAAAACATATGACAATACACACTGACGTGAAGGATCGATCTTTTAAGGGTCGTCAAAGCCGACATAGGCATATGAATATCCATACTAACAAAATTATATATAAATGCAAATATTGCATCTGCCAGTGCTCCAACAGTCGTGAGATGAAAAAACATACGAGAAGGCATAAAAAAGAGAAACTTTATAAATGTGATACATGTGATAAATCATTTTTAAGGAAAAAAAATCTTGAATCGCACGTTGAGATGCACATTTAAGTAGACAAAAGTGCATGCAAACCGTTTTAGCACTATATCTATCATGCATATTGTATGAAATGCTATTAACTCTGGTATACTGCTGAGACCGGAAGACATAAAAACACAGCAAAAAAAAAAAGAAAAGAAAAAAAACAGGTTACACAAATTATGTACAGTACTAAAAACTGTTGAATTTGAATTTAACATTCTTCTGTTTTGTGTTAGGTTTAAAGATTTACCATATAGATAATTACAAATGTAAATATACTATGTATATTTTTCTTTAACCTCTGTTATTATGTCACAAATTTCTTCGTCTTTCCATTTGTATTAGTATGATTTTTTTTGTTTGTTAGATTAGGTTTTACGTCACATCGACACAGTACAGGTCATTACACGACGTTCCAGCTTTACTGGTGGCCGAAGACCTCAGGTGTCCTTCCTTGCATTATTTCAGGCACGAACGGGCACCTGAGTAGAACCACCGACGTTCCGTAAGCTAGCTGGATAGCTTCCTCACATTAAAGAATCCAAAGTCCCTGTCGAGATTCAAACCCACAGCGGTTAGTGGCAAGTGGTTTGAAGTCAACGACCTTAACCACTCGGCCACGGAAGTATAATTTGTAAACCAAAGACAGTTCCTATACAATTATGATTTGTATACCAAAGGCAGTACCTAATAAGGCTATACAATTACGATTTGTATACCAAAGGCAGTACCTATACAATTACCTGTTTTTCCACATCTTTTCTATTTATAATTGTAATATATTATAATTATCATGGTTTACACGTGGCCAAAATATGTAATATTCATTATCATGGATTTACTGGGGTCCAAAATATGTAATTGTTATTATCATGGTTTTACTTGTCTCCAAAATATAAATCTTTATTTTCTCGGTTTACTCGTGTCCTAAACATGTAATTATCCCCCGCCGATGGAATCGGGAGGGGGATATAGTTTTGGCGTTGTCCGTCCGTCCTTCCGTCCGTCCGTCCGTCCGTCCGAATTTCGTTTCCGGAGTAGTTCTCTGCAACTAATGGCTGGAATTCAACGAAACTTTATGGGAATGTTGATCAGCATGTGAAGTTGTGCACCTGGGTATTTTCGTCTGGATATTTTTAGTATTTTTAGAGTTATTGCCCTTGACTTAGTAAAACGTCCGAATTTCGTTTCCGGAGTAGTTCTCTGCAACTAATGGCTGGAATTCAACGAAACTTTATGGGAATGTTGATCAGCATGTGAAGTTGTGCACCTAGGTATTTTCGTCTGGATATTTTTAGTATTTTTAGAGTTATTGCCCTTGACTTAGTAAAACGTCCGAATTTCGTTTCCGGAGTAGTTCTCTGCAACTAATGGCTGGAATTCAACGAAACTTTATGGGAATGTTCATCAGCATGTGAAGTTGTGCACCTGGGTATTTTCTTCTGGATATTTTTAGTATTTTTAGAGTTATTGCCCTTGACTTAGTAAAATTTTGTAATTTTCAACTTGTGTCGCATGTAACTCAAAAAGTATTTGACCTAGAGTCATGAAACTTTACAGGAATGTTGATCAGTATGTGTAGTTGTGTACCTGGGTATTTTCATCTGGATATTTTTAGCATTTTTAGAGTTATTGCCCTCGACTTAGTAAAATTTTGTAATTTTCAACTTGTGTCGCATGTAACTCAAAAAGTGTTTGACCTAGAGTCATGAAACTTTACAGGAATGTTGATCAGTATGTGTAGTTGTGCACCTGGGTATTTTCGTCCGGATATTTTTTACTATTTTTAGAGTTATTGCCCTTGACTTAGTAAAATTTTGCAATTTTCAACTTGTGTCACATGTAACTCAAAAAGTATTTGACCTAAAGTCATGATACTTTACAGGAATGTTGATCAGCATGTGTAGTTGTGCACCTGGGTATTTTCGTCTGGATTTATTTAGTATTTTTAGAGTTATTGCCCTTGATTTAGAAAATGTTTGCAATTTTCAACATGTGTCGCATGTAACTCAAAAAGGATTTGACATAGAGTCATTTAACCTTATTGGAAAGTTGCTCAGCATATTTAGTTTGTTCCTGGGGTTTCGCTTGTGGATTTATCCAGTATTTGTAGAGTTATTTCCCTTGACTTAGTAAAAACTGTTTCATTATGTTGTTATTTGATCCTTGAGTGCTTGAGTTAGAATCAACCAACTTTACAGGAATAATGATCAACATCACTAAATTACGAATAATGAAGTCTGGAGATTAAGATGTTTTTACATCTAGGTGAGCTATTGTGATCCCCCACCGTCCGTCGTCATGCGTCGTCAGCAATTTCTTTAAACAACATCTCCTCAGAAACAAATGACTGCACAGCAACCAAACTTTACAGGAATGATCCTAGGGTGGTCCCCTGCCAAAGTTGATCAAATGGTTCTGGTCTGTTGCATAGCCTTATGTCTTCAGTTGTTGTGTTAATAATAACCAGTACTCGGCGGGGGATATAAATTCAACGAATTTGCTTGTTAATTGTTATTATCGTGGTTTTACTAGAATTCAAAATATGAAATTGTTATTATCATGCTTTACTCATCTTTCCAATTTGTATTGTTTTGTCTTATGCTTCGCTAAGTAATGGATACAGTACGAGTTTTTCTTCAAAAGTGTCTTCTTACAGACATAAGAAGACAGTTTGCTAGGATAAACAACAAATTTCCCGAGGCGAAGCCGAGGATAAATTGTTGTTTGTCCTTGCGAACTGTCTTCTTCTGTAAGAAGATACTTTTGAAGAAAAAACGAGTAATTGTATCCGACTTACACGACGTTTAAGTAAAAAGAACAGATCAATTAATAAACACATTTAATTATGAATAAATCTAATTGAAATTAAATGTATGTTCAGGTTGAAAATATCAAACTAGAGAAAATATTTGCATGGCCTTTTAGCTTTTGTAAGCAAATTGTATTCGCTTGGAATTTTCGTGCGCTTGTTATGCTCCCCGAAAAATTTCGGGGGAGCATATAGTCGTCGTGTTGTCCGTCCGTCCGTCAGTCCGTCCGTACGTACGTCCCGAATTCGTGTCCGGCCCATAACTTTGTTATTTGAAGTCGGATTTTAAAAATATTTCACAGAAATGATCACCATATTGAGACGACGTGTCGCGCGCAACATTTGGGTCGCTACCTTGAAGGTCAAGGTCACAGCATGACCTTGCAGCAAAATCGTGTCCGGTCAATAAATTCATTATCTGAAGTCGGATTTAAAAATATTTCACAGAAATGATCACCATATTGAGACGACGTGTCGGGCGTAACATTTTGGTCGCTACCTTGAAGGTCAAGGTCACAGCATGACCTTGCAGCAAAATCGTGTCCGGCCCATTACTTTGTTATTTGAAGTCGGATTTTAAAACTTTTTCACAGAAATGATCACCATATTGAGACGATGTGTCGCGCGCAACATTTGGGTCACTACCTTGAAGGTCAAGGTCACAGCATGACCTTGCAGCAAAATCGTGTCCGGTCCATAACTTTGTTTTTTGAAGTCGGATTTTAAAAAATATTTCACAGAAATAATCACCATATCGAGACGATGTGTCGCGTTCAACATTTGGGTTGCTACCTTGAAGGTCAAGGTCACAACATGACCTTGCAGCAAAATCGTGTCCGGTCCATAACTTCATTATTTGAAGTCGGATTTTAAAAATATTTCACAGAAATGATCACCATATTGAGACGATGTGTCGCGCCCAACATTTGGGGTCGCTACCTTGAAGGTCAAGGTCACAGCATGACCTTGCAGCAAAATTGTGTCCGGCACATAACTTCATTATTTGAAGTCGGATTTTACAACTATATCACAGAAATGATCACCACAATGAGACATTGTGTCGCGCGCAACATATTTGGGTCGCTACCTTGAAGGTCAAGGTCACGGCATGACCGTGCAGCAAAATCGTGTCCGGCCCATAACTTCGTTACTGGAAGTCGGATTT